TCGGTCCTGAGAGCCTCAGGAATGACAGTGGTCCCCTTGGACTCTGCAGGAAAAGGATGGCAAGTGTTAAGTGTTAGCGCGGTCGCGCGAAAGGTACTGGATTTTAGCTCGGTCATTAAGAGTGCCAAACCACCTCGGTTATCTAGTCTAACTAAGGAGCCCGGTCGCCCAAGCAGACCAGATGTTAGCCCGGTTGAGCGACCAAGTCCTTTTGTTATCTCGGTTTTTGTTGGGGTTGAGACAAACATGTTATTTGCTCGGTCAGATTGATTTTTTGGATCAAAAGAAGACCAGGAGCCCGGTTCGCCCCAGTTCATCAGTGTTCTTCAGGGAGATGAAGAACACCAAGAACAATGGGAGGTTTGGGACGGCTTCTATGGCCTATGCCCTAAGAGCTACGTTTTTGTGCCCTAATGTGTGTAATTTGAAAGAAAATAGCAACAAAATAGGCGTAGAAGGACTTACCAGTGAAGGGCAGGATCGAATCCCTCAAACACGAAGAATGGCAGAAGAGGCCAAGTCAAGAATGCTAGAGCTCTGAGGTCGTATATCGAAGTGGCAGTAGGAGGAGTTGGAGTTTGGGGGGTCTTATATGTATAGGCAGGAGGGAGTTAGCCCAAATTTAAAATTCTGGCAAAAACGACGGGTTGGCTGCTCGATGGCCAATGGCAGCCCGCCACGTGTCCCCATTTATGGCGACGTCAGGACTGAAGCGACGGGTTGAAGAGTCGAAGAGCCAACCGAGCTACTTTCAAAGGAACAGATGTCAGCCGAGGAGTATAACCGGGCAAATTTGTAGACAGTTATGTTAACTAGCCCGGTTGCCCTTTGGCATCTTGAAGGCCGGAGAAATGTTATCTCGGTCGAAGTGAGTAATCCCAGTCACACTTTCGCGGACGGAATTAAGGGGCAATTGAGAGGGTGATTTATGATCTGGAGTTGGGCCGAGGTAACGGCCGTGCAGGTTGAGAGCCCAACGATGCATGGGGCCGAGATGACCGACTATCCGCCCAGAGATGGGCTGCCAGAACTTGGGCCGGGCAGAACTTGGGCCGAGTGTGTGCCGCCCCAGACCGTAAAGAAACTGCCCGGCAAGGCAGTGCTCGGTTGGACCGAGCTGCTCGATCAATGGATGGCCGAAGCCGGACAAGCTGAGTGACCGGCGCCAGGAAAGGCATGGCCAGCCGAGGTAACTGTTTGACCGGCAGAAAGGCCGACCTCAGGAGGAGCCTCGGGCTAGGCTTTGCCGAGATGCCGCCTAGTCCAGTCCTCCTTGGGCTTAGCCAGTGAAGTGCTTGGGTATGAAGCACGGCCCGGCATGGCAACGGATAGAGCAGCTTGGCTGCCGAGCTCCAGCTGTGAAGGCAGGCAGTTGAGATTAAGTGATGTTCAACAAGGTCTATGCTGACAGATGGGATAGCGGAGCCACGTGTCAGGAGATGACTGGGAGTAGATATGGGGCACAGAGGGTATATAAGCATGTCTGCGCCCCCCATACGCGACAGATGAACACTTTGTAAGGAATTTCTTACATTCAAACACCTCGATTTCAAAGTATCCATTACCCTCTGTTTTTGTTTAAGATATGATCCTTGTGTAGTTGTGTAAGATATGATCCTTGTCTGGCATATAAATAATAATGTGTTTATATGAGATTTTGGTAAACCAATGGAGGGAAAAAGAAATAGCAAAATAATTAGGAACAGAAACGGAGGGAAATCAAAAAAGAAAAAAAAAATTAAAGATTACCGGTCGACCGGCCGGTTGACCGGCCGGTCAACCAACCGGTCGCCCCCTACCGGTTCACATCCGTCAGTTCACTTGGTCGGTTCAAACAGTTCAGTTGTTGGTTCAGAAAGGTTTTTTAAAAAAAAAAAATTTTCCTCTACTCGGTCGACCGGTCCGGTCGACCATCAGGTCGACCATCCGGTTGTCCTGACTGATATTTGATGAAGCTGAAAGCGTTGGAGTGTGAAGTATCAAATTCAGAAAATGGTCATTTTTTAACTCAAATTTGGTGAAATATTAGGTTAACAGTTGGAGATGCTCTTGCCACTCCACATAACTTTTTTAGGGTTTGGTCAAATCACAAAAAAAAAACAAACCCCAAAAGCAAAAGTTAAAGAAACACAAACTATTAGTTATTTATAAACCCTATAAATTACATAAACACACACATAGTCAACACATTTCCTCACTTGAAGTTCAATTTTCTGCGCAACCAAATTGAAATTCAAACCAATTGCAACAATTTCAAAGAAAACCCTAATTTGATACCACAAAAGCAAAGTGCAAGATCTAAGACAAAGGCAATGAAACTCTAGTGAAAAGCACCATTGTGGAGCTACAAGACTTTTCGTTGACAGACAAATCACCAGTCTTCGTAAACACCACATGAATCTACACAACCACAACTCCAATCAACATTGAGATCACTATATTGAGAGTCATATCAGTCAATAAGAGGAAAACGATCATGAGCACCAATAACACCACCATCACGATACGGTCGTCGATAATACGGTTGTAAATCACCGACAACTCATCTCGGATTGTGACCAAACACCATGGTAGAGACATTCTAGGGAAGTCTCACGGCGAGATCGTTGTCGATTTAGCGAAGTCGTTCGTATCGACGGCGTCATCCACGGGATCAAACGGTTATTGGTGAAGATGAATCCACATGATCGAATAGTTGTTGGTGAATAAGAAAGAGAAGATAAAGAGAAAAGATCATGAGAGAGGAAAGATAGTAGGTTTGGGCGGTGAAGAGAAGACAAGAGTTGCAAAGAGAGAATAATATAAGAGAGGAGAGAAAGAGTGGGTTTGAGAAAACTTAACAGATAGTCATTTTGTATGGGACTATCCTTCTGGACTTAACAATGTCCTTTTGAAGTAATAATTTAGCGCCTGGAATTATATAGACATAAGAAATTCAAAATTAAATTTATGGACTAAGCGCCCAAAGTTTTATTATGAGAGCAGTTTGACTAAATTTTCTAAGAAAAGTGAGTATTGAACAGTGCTATAAAGTAGAAAAGAACGACGAGGATGTTCGAGTGTTTAGAACCATGTAGAATTATTTTATATATTAATTAAAATGGTGAAATTTTATTGCACACACATCTTAAAGAGTGTCTTTAAGAGGTGTGTACCATAGAATTTGAGATTGGGTTTAGTTTCTTTTAAGTTGGTCATCTTAATATGAGAGGACGTTTGGGCATGGTAAGCCTATTTTGGAATCGATTTCGGCGATATAAACTATTCCTCTTTAAGAATTTGTTGAGTAAAACATTTATGTAAAAAAAAAGATGATCGGATATCAGTAACTATATATTTGAATCGATTTTGTATTACAAAAAATATATGACTTTTCTTAAAATTATATTTGTTGTCATTTTTTGAATACAAAGGGCCCTTACCAATCAGTCTTGTTATTTAGATTTATTTATCTATAAGTCTTGATTGATAAATTTATCAATATGACTTAATAAGTAACAAGTCCTAAAAATATGACCTATTGATAATTTATCCTATTATGATAGAGATACAAATATATAGCCACCAATATTCTATCATCTTTATTTTTTATATAAATATTATATCTAACGAGTCATAAAAAGAAAATTAAACGATTCAAATAACCGAAATCAGTTCTAAAGTAGACTTACAAAATCCAAACACTCTGTGAAATTAAAAATGACAACTGTCAAAGAAGCCAAACCTTTTAAGATTAGGTGAGACACACCTCTTGGTAACAAATGTGACCATTAAAACGACGTAGTTTTATTTTCCAGAAATGTCCAAACAACGTCGTTTCCTGTTCTTCCTCCCCAAAATTGTGTTCTGTCTCTGTCTCTCTCTGATCTCTGTGTCGCTCGGATTCTCTATCATCCGTCTTTCTCTTGCCAAACCAACAAAAACCAAACCGCTGTGGAACGCCGTGAACTACCAGTGGCCACCGTGGGCCACCAATCTGGGTGTGTGTGTCGTGTTTCGCACGGCTCCTTCTCTTGCTCTTTTTCCTTGTCAAAACTTCGGGGTACCAACACTGCAGGTGCGTTAATTCTTTCAATTTCTTCACACACGGGGACGTAGTTGATCTAATCCCAAGTTGTTTGTTTGTTTTTTTTTTAATTTTATAGAATTTCAGATTTTGCTATATCCTCTGTTGCTGTTACAATTACAATTACTCATGAATTGTTGGCTCTGGGGTGGTGCTACCGGTTTTGGGGGTTTTTATTGTGGACTGATGCTCTTGATTTTGGTATAAGCGGCCATGGAGTACGGGCTTTCTGATAGTAGTGGTGAGCTGCTCATCATTAAAGACTGTTGTTTTGTATCTTTAACACTCACATTTTTGTCTTTTTTACGGTTTACAAGACTTTTTTATCTTTAAATTGTGTGTATTGCTGGTTTTGAATATTGATTGGCTATGAAACAGAGTTAAATGGTTTAATTTGTTAATATTCAACATATAATTAACATTTAATGTCAAAAGTAAAGGTGTAAATTAAAATTAAATGTTATTATATTAAATAACTTATAAACTATAGCTTAATTTCAAAATCATGCTAAGTATAAAACTAAAAAAAAAAAGAAAAGGCCTAGTATATTGAATTTTATGTTTGTAGTAGAAGAAAATAGTATTTTGATTGAGGTATAATGTGGTTTGAGAATATATTAGGTACATTTGGTTATGCCAAAAATTAAGAGGAAAAAATTTGGGTATACTTAGCACGTATGTAGAAGTACCATACACCGGTAAGTATTCGGTACAAGTACGCCATGCTTTTTGAAGTACCCATGCTTTATAGTTGATTGATAAAAGAATTATGGAATTAGGGTTTAGGGCTTGATTTGGTGATTAACTAGTCCTAATGGTTCACACACTTTTAAGTTGTCACATTGCAAAGGATGCTAGTTTAGGTTTTGACGTCAACATCACTTTTGACTTCTGATCATGCTACTATTCTGTAAGTCAGAGTTGCATTGGAGAACTGTAAAATTCATGAGATGGACTAATAAATTGCTGCCATAGAATATATACTGCAAGTCTTGTCCCTGTCTACGTGTGTATATGCTGGTCAGGTTTTGTGGTTAATGGTGCACAGAACATTGGGGTTTTAAGCATTTGTATATTGTAGGGGTAATGAGCTGAAGATCTAATTAACCTTGAGGTCATTACCGTGGTGCATTCAGATTATTTTGTAGTTTTTGAATGGAAGGTTAGAGGAAGGATGGGTTAGGCTTAAGGAAGGTTCAAAGGTATGAGTAGAGGCCTAACAAGTTCTAGTTTTGAGAGAAAAAGTAATTTGACTGCAAGTGTAAACCTGTAAAACTTTTTTTTTACATTGGGAAAGTTTAGCAAATGGGTTATTTAGGTCACTGTTTAAATTATAACAAAATGAGGGGCAATAGTTTAGTTTTAAGTTTTTAACTAGTAAATTCATTTAAGTGCTGGGCTTTACTTGCAAACTTTGGCAATTATATAAATAAGTTTGATATTTCTTCAATAAATCAGATTTAACTCACATTTCTCTCATTCTTTGACAACATCCCTTGCCTCCGAGAAGCCATTCTAGCATGATTTATGGGCTTTACGGTAACATATCTAGGCTACATGCATTAGATCAAATGAAAAAGCTTGTATTTTTTTTCTTCCTTTTCTTCCCTTCTTCCTCTTCTTTGATCTACTAGACATAAGGGTACACCAGCTGTATCGAGGCATGTCCCATATATTTATGTCGACACGGGTACCTTGGGCTAATTTGTTGATTCCACGAAAACAACTTTTGACTATGAACATTTTTTTATCAACTATAGTTTTGATTGTCTTCAAGTCTTTAATTACATTTATAATCACAAAACTAGTAATTATTTGATATAAATTATGCATGTTTATCTTGACTACAAATTACTAATAGTTTAAAATGAACTACCTTTTTAAATCATGGTTATTAATTATACAAAAATAATTACAAATCACTGTAAGCTGAAATAAATATTGATTCTGAAATAAAACATGCATATTAGTATACTTGGGAACTTGTATGAAGTTAAAAAAAGAAAAAAAAAAATAAATTCACGACTTCGACGTCGCTACTGTTATGCAATGTCCGTCACATCCGAAACCGCACTATTGCCATTGGTACTGTTATGGAGGCAGCTACCGTTGCTTAAAATCTTGAATCCCCACATAGCTACTACTTTATGGTAGGGGTGTTCACAAGTCGGTTCGGTTCGGGTTTACCTTTGACCTGACAGCCGAACCGACACATTTGGGGTAGAGAATCAGTCATCGACCGGACTAAGGTTCAAAATCGACCGAATCAAAAAAATCGATTTGGCAATCGGTTCGGTCGATTTCGAAGATCCAATAGGAGTAGAAAAAATATTATGAAAATGGAATTAAAAATTTCAAAATAACAAACTTAACACTCATATAAACATATCCATATATTTCTTACAACTAGAATGAAACTTGAGGAGAGAAAATAAAGAAAAATCTAGAGAGGGATCGCCGCTGTTGATCATTGTTGCCGTCATTGCGCAGCCACAAGCACCACCACTGCCATCGCTCATCGTCGCCACCACCGTTATTTTTGTGCTCATCCACCACCACATCATCGATAGAAAGAGGGTAGCAAGAAAAGAGAAGTAGAGATGAGGGAGAGTAAGAGATGGATGGATATGTTTTTGAAATAAAGAGAAGTGGAGATGAGGGAGGGTAAGAGATGGATGGTTCTGTTTCTGAAGAGAGAGAGAGAGGAATTGATGAGAGGTTTTTTTTGATTTGGGAGAGAGAGAGAGAGAGAGGAAAAGGGGAAAAGGGGTCAGAATTTAGGAGAGAGAAGGAGAGGAGATGAGACGTGAAGTTTGAGGGGAGAGAGAGAGAGAGGAGGCGTCAGAATTGAGGAGATAAAATGAGAGTTAAAGTGAAATGTCTCTATCTACAAATAAAAAAGAAAAAGAAAAAGAGTGAAACGCCAAATATTTGATTGGGAAGAGAAAAGTCCACTCTTGGGAAGATCTAAAGTTCTTGAAAAAATAAAAGTCTACAGAGTTTGTATAGTTTTCCAAGACAAAGACAATAGGTCTCTGCTGACAAGTAAAGCTAACGTAGTAATAAAATTGTATATACCCCTTATTCGGTCGGGTTGGTTTAGGCAGGTCTGTTTATGTTACATCTGACCTCTGACTGGAATTCACGAAAAATCTAAAAGGCACACTCGCAGCCGACTGGGCTATTTGTCGAAACCACCCATATTGTATACGGGTCGGGTGGATTGGGTCGGTTTCACGGGTTGTTTGGATATTTGAACACCCCTACTTTATGGGATGCTCCTAAGGGCAATCTTAAAAAAAAAATTAGAAGAGAACACGACTGACCCGTCAATGGACTAGCTGACTTATCCAGTTCAGGCACCTCTCTTAACAGGAAGCAACTCACATTTCCCAAATTTCACATTTATTTAGAGATAGCCACAAGACATAACAAAACACGCCTCTAAATGTCAACTACTCTTTAATCCCGTAATAGGACATAATGGTATCATCTACAAATAAAAGGTAAGATATGGTGAGGGAAGCCCGTCTAGCTCCTCCAAATTCATACTTTCTCAAAGGACTTCCCTCAATTAAAGAAACCTGAAGATTCATATTTTTGCATTTATGTTTGGATGCCTTGTTCTCATAGGTTAACAAGATGGATAATGAGGAAGTTGATTTTGTGGTGAAGAGGATTTTCATAACTATAAAACATTTTAGAGGTCAAACCATATTGTGAGTTGTTTTTTTTTTTTGGTGGGAGGAGAGGGGGTTATTTATATTATTCAATAGGATGCTTTTTGCAGGTGTTTGTGACTTGTGGTTGTTTTTATTCTTTTTTCTTGACTCCATGAAGGATGCCTTGTTCTTTTTTCCCTCTACCTTCTATTATTAGAATTAAATCTATTTTGTTTTTCGTGAATAATTTTTTTGCACATGAGGTTAAAGAAAGCATCTATTACCTTGAATCAGTTTTAGGGTTGCTTGGGAGTCTGATATGTAGAAAATGAAATGGTTATTATTCTTTTATGGATAGAAAATATAGCTCTAAGCTATGGAGTGAATGCTAATTAATCAAAGAATAGTTGAGATTCAGCCTCAAACAAAACATGTGGTTGTTTTTATATTATTAGTCAATAATAATTCAATAGGGTGCTTTTGAATTATGGATAGAAAATATGAGCTCTAAGCTATGGAGTGAATGCTAATTAATTAAAGAATAGTTGAGATTCAGCCTCAAACAAAACATGTCACTTGGCTTTTTTGTTTTGTTTTGTTTTGTTTCTTAAGAATCCATTTTTCACTTTACTTATTTTTATGGCGCCTATGGTTATAAAACTTACAAGGATACACCATAGAGCACCAGGCGGCAGACACAACTAGACATTTGGGTGCAAATATACAGGGTAGTTTAACTTAAGGATATTCGTTATTTGTTTTGCTTGAATATGCTCTTGACCCACAATCCTAGGTGACCTAGAAAGATAGTTCACTTTTCCATGGCCTTAAGCTACTATTTGTCCTTCATGTTTATATCCTTTAAGTGATGATGAGAATGCTTAGATGCTTAGGTGAGCTAGAAAGATAGATTTGATTATAACAGGACAAACTGTTAGGCAACTAACAAAAAACACATTCATAAAATGAGTGTAGCTGGGATAAAAAATGCTTAGATGGACGTGTGGTAAGATTAGGAAAGATAGTATTAGAAATTAATATATTCGTGAAATGGTAGGAATACCAATTGAAGATGAGTTGAAAGAGAATAGACTAAGATAGTTTGGTCATGTACAACAAAGGCCAATAAATGTAATAGTAAGGAAGAGTGATATGATCAATATAAAATGAAATGTTAGGGGTAGGGGAGACCTAGACTCACATGGGAGGTTAGGGGGATAGTTTGTGTCGATCGTATTTGTGTCACAATTACCTCAACGCTACCCCTCCTCCATCCCCTCCCCTTTTTTTCTCTTCATGTTATTGTGTCATGTCATTTTTTATTTGTGACCAATTTATTTCATATCAAAAAATTTCACCCTAGTTAAGCAAGTGTATTAAACCCCACAAGTTAAATTTCATTAAACTAATATCTACTAAATAAAATTATTCATAAAAATGTTTGATTTCAACTCATTTCCATTTCCCCAATTTGAAAAAACTATAACTTATCGTTATTTATTTTATATTATATTAACTCGAAAATACATTATGTTAAATGAAAAACACACACACACAGACACACTACATTAGCCTTAACATGGCACCGCTTAGTGGAAATAATATTGAAATGTGATACTAATTCTTCATTAGACGTGTTATCCATGTCAACTTTGTGTTATGCAAATTCGATACTAACCTAATCCCATTTAATATTCGTGTTATCGGGTCGTGTTAGATTTGTGTTTGTGTCGAAAACATTAAACCCCAACTAACTAACTTTGTATACGGTTCAAAATCATGTTATCCTGCTGTGTCGAAAATTCTCACCTTTAGTTGGCCCCACTGATTGGAACACAAGGCTTAGTTTGGTTTTCTTTAGTTTTTTTTTCCTTTGGATGTAGTATACAGTTTACCAAATATCTGTTTGGTATCGGTGAATTCTAGAAATTATTTTGAAAAACGTCCCCTTGTATTGTTAAAATTACTCTGTTGTGTTGTTATCATTTGCCAACTTGTATCCTCCGTCGGAAACGCATTCCATTTAGGGGCTTGGGATGCCATTTTGCTGGAGAATGAGCAACTGAAGCAGCTGCATTCAGCAAATTTGCGCACTCATTGTTGAACGACCTTACCTATTAGTATAAAATACAAATATTTTCTTAAATTAATTTTCCGTGGAAACAAAGGGAGCCTATATTAGGTCCTTATTCTTTGTACTATGTCTCGTCCTATACTCTAATAAAAACCCATTCCAATGATTGATCTTTGTGTCACCCTCTCTTTCTCTAGACACCTGTATCAAAATGATTATTTTGGTGTCATCTTCCATTATGTTTGTTTTGTTAGAATAGATTACTTTTATTATATATCTCGTAAATTTATGATGTTGCATTAAGCATGTGAGAGCTTAGTTCGGAATTCGGAAACCACATATTAGGCCTTCATTTTATTTTGTTATAGCTTAAGTTTTTAGTGTTTACTAATATTATTATTATTGTTGTTATTATTATTATTTATTTATTTATTTTTTCAATTTCACTTTCACTTGCCTTATGAATTTGTAATTTGGGTAAATCACAAACACACCCGCTGAGTTTTACTTAAATTACAAATTACCCCCTGTGGTTCTGGAAATTACATTATGTCCTCTAAGGTTTATAATTTCATAACAAATAAGTCATTTTATTAATAAATCATCAAGTTAATTAACAGTTTTTAATAATGTTAAAATTTTATTTCTATTAATAATTCAGATAATTTTGTTATTGTATAGGTGAACAGTTAGAAATTTCATTTTTTCAAGTAATTCTGTTAAATAAAAAATTCTGACAAGGAGGTATTTGTAATTTTCCAAACCACAAGAGGCAATTTGTATTTTAAACAAACCTCAGGGGGTGTATTTGTAATTTACCCTTGTAATTTTGGTTTTCCGTTATTTATCATACATGAAAGACTTGTTCTGGTAACTTTATCATTTAGTAGCCCACATAGTGAAAGTAACCATTGGTATGGTGCTTTTGGAATTGCTTTAACCTAGTTGATTTTCTTTTTATTTTATTATGGAGGTACAATGATAAGTTTGATCTTTCGGATCCAAACAAGATTTTTTTTTTCTCTTTAGATATTTCTAGTTAGGACTTGATCGAGGGATCAATTGACCTCAAAACATAAAGTAAGAAGACCAGAACATTGACTGAGGATTTCCATGTGCAAGTTTTGTATATTACTACTGTGTATGGCAATGTATATGCATTCCTGTTTTTCCTTTTCATGGTTGAATGCATGTGATTCTCTGGACAGGAATGCTGGTGACTTTTGCATGTTTGATGCTTCAGTTGAGACATTGTAACAGGCTAAAAGTTTATGCCCTGTTTAACATCATTTGTAAAATTTTTATTTTTGTTTTTGTTTTTAGTGTTTTCAGAAGCAAAACAACGAAAAATTTGGAAACACTAATCGTTTTAATCTTTGTGCAAAAGACATTTTTTGGAAATTTAGAAAACAATTTGAAAGTGTTTCCTCAAACAGCGTGTTTTCAGAAAACTTTTGCAAACAGTTTGCCAAACAAGTTTTCCATATTGGTTTCCATTTATTCTGTTTTCGGATGCAGAAAACAGAAATGATACCAAATGCACACTAAATATTTGCACTACAGTTGCAAGATTTAATTTGTTTTAAACACACCTTTTGTTTGCTTCTTATGAGGTAGAAACAAGAAATGGGCACTGAGTTAACCGGCATAAGTTGATTCTCTCTCTCTCTCTCTGTGTGTGTGTGTGTGTGGAAGAAACACAAGTACTGCTTAAACAATTCAAAGTCCTTGCACTTGTTAATTACTAGATCATTATACATTCATGGAGTTGGCATAATAATTTTTATCTCCCTATGCAAATTTCAAATTATATTTTATTTTTATGTTTATGTATTTATTTATTTTTCCTGGGTGCACATTCAAGAAAACTTGTTTGTGTAGTGATTCTTTTTTATTTAACTGCAGGCACAGATGATGACCTTCCTCCTTCCCGTCAAAATAGGTTTTCAAGGGGGGGCCGTGCTGCAGGGAATGTAAGATCTGCAGTTGTTGGTACTGCTCAATTCTCTCGGATGCATAGCGATATGGAGACACAGATCCACCACGTAGAACAAGAAGCATATACTTCTGTCCTTCGGGCCTTCAAAGCTCAATCTGATGCCATTACTTGGGTATATATTACATATTGTTTGTGTATTCATTATATCTAGTTTTTGAATTGTGCTAAATTGATTTAAAGTTCTCAATTTGTGTATATTGTAGGAGAAAGAAAGTTTAATTACTGAACTTAGAAAAGAACTGAGAGTATCAGATGAGGAACACAGAGAGCTTCTATCCAGGGTTAATGCTGATGACATCATCAGAAGGATAAGGTCTGATAATATTATGACATTGTATTGCTGAGAATGGTTCATCAGGTGTCTCATCATGTTTGGTCAGTTACTCATTTTTATGGGAGTGTGTTCAATATTGTCATTAGGGAGTGGAGGAAGGCAAGTAGGCTCCAACCTGGCATGCTCAGCAGTACACAGCCTGTTCATGATCCTGTGCCTAGTCCTACTGTTTCTGCATCACGCAAAAAACAGAAAACATCACAGTCGTTAGCTTCTTTATCCCTGGTTGCACTGTCCCCGGCATTGCATCCATCTATGCAACCATCGTCATCAGCCTTGAAACGAGGTCCTGTATCCGGAGCCAGGGGCAAGAAGCCAAAATCAGTAAGTCATATAATTTTCACTATAAGGTTTGTTTACATATAGATGATAAAATTGATATGCTCTTTGTTTCCACTATCTTAGTTTTTGGTTAGCTGAATTAGACATTGCTTAGTGCATCCTCAATACAGTCTATGCAGTACCCCTCTACAGGTTTCACTGGAAGGGGACAAGTTCCAAATCGGGGTTCTTCAGGTGCCTTTGCGGTAAATGAACCTGCTGAAGCAGCAAACTTTGATCCATTAATTGGGAGGAGAGTTTGGACAAGATGGCCTGAAGACAATAACTTCTATGAGGGTGTTATAACTGACTACAATCCTGTTGAGGTATGCCCAGTTGTTTATTAGACTGCACTATTTGATGGCCCTGAACTTGCAAATTACAAAAATTTGCAGGGCCGGCACGCTTTGGTTTATGATATTAATTCAGCAGATGAAACATGGGAATGGGTCAATCTCAAAGAGGTAAAAGATGGAAATTTTCCCTTTTTAGTAACTATATGGCTTACTTTTTCCTTGGTTAATCTTTTCTTGTATTATCATGATCATGTTTTAGCTGATCCAAGAAATTCTGTTTACAATATATGAATGCTTGAAAATTGAGGAAATATATGCTTTATCTTCTCTAGTATCAATGCATTTTGTTCGTCTGCCATTGTGTGAATGCTACTTTGATGTTATTATTTTGCTCTCTGTTTACAGAACAACTAATTGATGCCTGATTGACAACATTCATGCGCATTTATTTTCACCATTACCCATAGTAATCTGGTTAAAAAACAGAATATAGTTTAGGGTGACTGTAGCGACACATCTTTTTTTGCAGAAAATGCTTGGTTGATGTCAAATTCTAATATTTGTAGAAAGCAGATTGCATCTAAAATTTACTAATTGTACTTTTTATGTTTATCTGAAATATAATTTGGTGGAAAATTTTCAGCAACAGCTGTTTATGTCAGTGAGAATACGCTATTTTATGTACTTCTATTTCTCAGTTCTTCAGAAGTGGAATTAATTTGCCTTGTGTAATCTCGCTTTTGCTCCTGTACCTATTTGTCAATTGCACATGTTCCTCTGAATTAGGCTGGGTATTTCAGTCTGTTGCTCAAAATACTCTTGATGATTATGTCCGGAGGTAAGGTTTAAGGAAGAATGTCTCATAGTCAAGGATCAAATTTTTGTTTTGATTTGTGTTGTTTGACAAGCAACAAAACAGAAACAAATCGAAAGAGACAAAAAGAATTTAAAAATACATCAAATTTTATAAACACAAACACAAACTTATTGTTAGATTGACAATAGAAAGAAAAAATAAAGTAGAGAGAAGAGAACACTCAGCATAAGGCTAATGATAGAGACCCATTCAGAATTAGGGTTCTCCTTTTAGACACATTTATATTAGAAGATCCAAAGTACATGAATATCCCTCCGATTAAAATAACATGGCACAACACTCCCCCCAAGTTGGTGCAAAGATCTCGCATGCTCAACAGCCAATTGATCTTTGACCTTCACAAAAGGCAGACAAATAATTCAGTTTTTCAAATTTTTTTTTTTTTAAATTAAAATATTAGAAAAAATAAAGGATAGGTAAATCTTGCATTTTCATTTGTTTTTTTTTTTTGCTCTGCAATACATAGGAAAAGGAAAGAGAGCAAGAGCAAGAGCAAGAACAAGAAAAAGAGACTAAAAATAGATTGCTGAAGAGGATTCTGAATTGATAGCTACTGCACTGCACGCAGCAGAAAGAGAGCAAGAACAATAAAAAGATCGAAGGACAAAACAAGCAAAGGAAAAGAGACTAAAACTAGATTGCGGAAGAGGATTCCAAATCCATAGCTACTGCAGTGCACATGGCAGACTTGACAAAAATTTCTGAGAAGTTAATCTAGAAACACCAAGAAGCCATATCGTGAGCAGCACCGTTAACTGATCTAGAAGCATAGGAGAAAACCAAATGATGCCTTTTCGAAACAAGAGAATTCTGGGAATGCATGTCATCCAACAGTGAGACAATTGACCAATGATGCTGAGAAATATTAGCCGACATGGATTGAACCCCTACTTTAGCATTGACTTCCAAAATAACCAAATCCCATTAATCCTCCAATGCCTGCACTGTACCCCATCTAGTTGCTTTAGCTTCTGTCAACAGTGCCGATGAAGTAACACCTTCCAAAGCTCTAGCCCATAACACATGGCCATCAGCATTCCTAGCCACTGCTGCTCCTGCCATCCTGTCTTTTTTTAAATGCAACATCAAAGTTTACCTTGATAACACCCTAATCAGGAACCATCAAATCTGAAGCCCACGAGCAGGCCTAGAGCTGGGGGAATCACCCTTGGAAGACTCTTGATAAAGTTTATGGTCCTCTGATAGCCTTAATACCTCCTTAAAAAGTTGACCCAGATCAACCACTTTGGTTTCAAAGACTGCGGTATTGTGGCATTTCCAGATACTATCCACTGATATAGCTGCAAAAAAATGAAAAGATCTTGTTGGGGAGTATGATTGGGCATCCAAGAGTGATCATTCTGAACTTTCGATACCCATTCAACTCCAGAGCATGCACTCACCTCTTCAGAATGTATTTCCCATTTATCAAACCAAAGAGTTCTAGCGATATTACTCTTGGAAAATAAGTGAACTACTGCTGTCTCCTCTTCACTTTGATGGAATGGACAAAAAACATTCTCCATGTAGAATGTAGAGGCTAGTGAACCTCTAAATGGTATGGCATCTACGTCCACTCACGGAAAAGCTATTTTCAGAAGCTCATGGATTTTGGCCTTCCTGAGATTTTGCCAGTCCTGAGTACTCAAGCGATAAGGCTGAAAGTCTAAAAGATGAGTTTCTACTCTATAAGCTGACTTTGATGAAAAAAAATCCAGAGGGCTATGGAATCCAAATCCCTTTTCCATGTGTATCAAGAGTTGGGATAGGAATTTTTTGGATTGCTCAAGATGTATGAGCATCAAAAAGGTTATCCAGCAGGTCCTTATGCCATTGCAGCGTTTCTCCTTCTAAAAGAGCACGCACTTTTGAAATTTTATAGCCTCATTTGAACTAGGAGGAACTTTGTAGTGTTGAAGATCAGGTACCCAATGATCTTTCCATATATCTATGTAAGACCTGCCAAGGTCTCACATAGATGAAATTCCCTTACATATATAGGAATCTGAATTTCTCTTCTCGACTGATAAAAAATCTACTTGAGAGCAGTATTTCTTCGATTACAAAGAGACCCAGAGCTTGTTTTTGTTTACATACCAGTTGCCATCCCATTTTGGCGAAGACAGCTTTATTCGAATTCAAATCCTCATCTTTTGAAAGCCCAAACCACCCACTTATTTCAGCCTGCACAAACAAATCCCAAGCTCTCATATGAATCCTTCTAGAATCCTCTTATCCTCCCCACCAAAAGTTGGATATTTTAGAATCCATTTCACCACATATAGCTACCGACCAGGATACTGTATGAAGACATTGCCTAAGCAGGCATCGAAAGAGCTGCTGCCTTATAAGAATCGCTCAACCTACAGACTTTAGAACCTTGATTGTCCAACGTTTCGACATCAACTCCAGTTTCCATATAACTTTTTTTCTTTATTTTTTTCTCCCCCCAATAAACATTGGTAAACCCAATAAAATGCATCCGCATCTTCCCTTATTTAAGTTCTAGGAGTTGTCTATTCCAATGGCGAAGGTTAGGGGCAGCATTGGCACTGAAACATACTGCTGATTTGCCCCGGGTAAGCTCTTGTCCTGATCAACTCCCTTATAACTCTAAGCATTACTTGACCACTGCTGCTTCAGATTCATTTGCATAACAGAATATAAGGAGTGCAAACATGAGGTGGGAAAGAGGAAGCTGGATCTATGGATTTTTACCCCATAAAGCACACCTTGGTTTTCTGCATAAGCAAAGTCTCTTGTGAGTACTTCATACAAAGAACAAAAAGGAAGAGGGAGCTTGGATCTTCTTGCCTAAGACCCCTTTGAGCATTGACAAAACCAATCGGACTGGATTTTAGCATATCGACGTACCCGTATCGTATCAGTACCAGTACTCATACCCGTACCCGTGCTTCATAGGTCCCTGGTAAGCTCTTGTCCTGACCAACTCCCTTATAACTCTAAGCATTACTTGACTGCTGCTGCTTCAGATTCATTTGCACAACAGAATATAAGGAGCGCAAACATGAGGTGGGAAAGAGGAAGCTAGATCTATTGATTTTTACCCCATAAAGCACACCTTGGTTTTCTGCATAAGCGAAGAATCGTGTGAGTACTTCATACAAAGAATAAAAAGGAAGAGGGAGCTTGGATCTTCTTGCCTAAGACCCCTTTGAGCATTGACAAAATCAATCGGACCCTAATGGAGGACAGCGCTGGATTTTGAAAACAGAGGTTATTTGACGGCCTAAACAGTGAGTAATTTAGGGTTGTACGGATTAATTGAATGTTAATAGGTAGGGGAGGGGATTAGGGTTGATTTGAGGCTGATTGGATGGGGTTTGAGGTTGAAAAGTGCACTTTTAGAGGGCTGTGAATAGTAATCCGAGAATAGTAAATTGAAATAGAAAATAAAAAGAGAGGAGAAGATGAAAGATCTAGGAATCAATCCTTGAATCCCTTAGGCATCACACCGAGGGCTTGATTGCATCACACAATCGATAAAGAAGTTTCAAAAGTTCTTGAAATTCTCTAAAATATAAACTTTATTGAATTAGAAGTATTAAATGACTAGGCTTTAGAGACTTTCTAAACCAATTAGAACAAAAAAAGAAAACTAGCATAATATCATCGACTTCCAAAACCAATTTAAGACCAAATAACAAATATAAATGAAACCTAATTAAATAATTTGACCCACAGGATGACCTATGGGCCACCCTTACAGCGCATGTTTGTAAATGTGAATGACATAAAAATGATAGAAAATATAAAACAATCATAAAATAGGACTCTTAACAATACTAGAAACATAATTATATATGATTCCTACCAGTTTCTCTTTGAAATTATGCCGATGTCCAAATATCATCGCTTCTATGAATTTAACTTTTCTTGAGCTTTTTATATTTTGCATCATTTTCCCCTTGTTGGAGAACACTCGACCTCGAGTTTTGAAGTATTGAAGTATAAAAATCCACAAACTTTTAAATTGCGTCCATGGCTTCATGTTGGAATGTTCAAGTTGATGCTGCCTTTTTTTGTTGGAGGTTGCAACAAAAAAAAATGAAAGATTGATATTTTCAATCATGTCACTAAATTTTTTTGGAATAACAAAGTCCATTGGCATAGGAAACACATCTTGGAATTCATCTAAATCAGTTTTCATAAAGCTTTCTTCGATATTCCTGGCAACAACCTGGATTCTTTTCTTTTTAGCCTTTATACGTAGCACAAGATCATCTTTTGATTCACTATTGGCCACTTAATTGATTATATGATTGGAGCA